CAAGCGGAACCACGGCTGCAAACACTCTCGATTCAGACAATGTGCCGCCTCTGGCATGAGCGCAAGCGACCTGAACACATGAGCTAAACCCTCCAGAAACCCACCCATCCCTTTACTTTCCGTCAATGGTCAGAAGACGGGTCGCGAGTGCGGTTGAGCTTACAGGCTGTCCCTGCTGCGCATTTCTGTAAGCACATTTCACCTCAACAGGTTTGCTGATGATTGATCGATTGATCCAGTTAACTTCCCTGAAATTATGTTTCTGTTTCCTTCAACTGATTATTAACATTCATGAGTGTTGACTACGTCAAAAGTGAATTTCACTTACCAATAAATGTCCGTATGCACCTCCTCTCACCGTACACTTCCCACAGCTGTGGAGAGAAAGAGATTAAACAACAAGTGAACACAGTTCGGCCATCATGGAATACTGTGGGTGTGAATGAATGCATTTGCTGAGGGGATTATCACCTTGATTTTACAGTCCATGGAGGAGGAGAGCAGAAGATGACCAGAGTGAGGAAATAGTCTGATGGCACTGACACCCTGGAAAACAAACAGACGGGAGAAGTTGGAAGGTTTTTTTTCTCCTGACCATGATTTCTATTCTTACATAAATCTTGCTCTACATTTTTGGCAACAGCAAGATTTACAGGGCAGAGTTGACAATGTGTGTGTTAACAAGCGTTTCATCATTTTAGAAACATCTGTTATTGAGCATTGAGGTGCATATGATATTGACCCGTATAATGTTATAATGCCACAGATCTGCATATTTAGAATGAAGAATTCATGAATGTCTGCTTGGACCATAAATCATCTATGATTGATATTATTGCTAAAATTGTTTATTAGACTAATGTCTATCCTTTTTGTATTGGTGAGAACCTTTAAAAACACATATTACTCTAACATTTAAGGAAAGGGCTTCAATTCAGCATTTATATTACATTTTTTTAATATTAAATCCATTCCAAAGGGGAGACAGCGGATTCTTAATAAGCAGGGCAGAAAAGTGTGTGTGTGTGTGCAGACTATCCTGCCTTTGTTATAGTCATGGAAAGTATGTTGACTTTTAAGTTACCAAACTTCCTCCTAATAAATGTCATAAAACCTTGGTGACTACGCGTGTGCCATCCTCCATCTATTATCTCGACATCAGTGCTTCCACACGCTTATTATCTTTTCAAACCTCTTTGTATTTCAAATGAGGGCTGTGACTTCCAGCACAACGCAGATAGGAGCCAATTTAAAGCTTGAGAGATTTCTCTCTCCCTGAAGCGTTCCAGCAGGTCTGAAGATTGGATCGGATCTCTTGGAATGACCCAGTGTTTGCCTTTATATTTGAATCATGACAGTGGTTTCAATGAGGCAGAATGGTCTTGAATTTGTCAGCGACGAGCAGCGCGCGTACAACTGCGTTATCAGTTCCTTCAAAAGCACCGGGGAGGCTTTTACCAACTTAATCATAAATTCTAACACTGAAAGCGTGATGGAATTTTCCCTCTTTTCCCACAAACACCGGCGCTCTTTTTTTTAGCACTTTGGAATAATTTTAAAACTACAGTATCAACCATCAGCAAAGTTCGGAGGGATAGAAGCGTCGGCTAAATGGCGTGTAATGTAATAATACTTCATTAGAATCATTAACTGGTAAGTAAAAGGGTCATGTATGTACACACAGAAACGCAAATAAGCCACGTCCCTTCCCACTGACCTTGGTGTGTCCGGACCAGACATGAATCTGTTTCTTAGGCAGGTAACACTTGTCTGGAGCCTCTGTAGAGCGCAGGTTGATACCAACATCCTGTGGGATGTGGAGGTAGGACCTGCCCTGGTAATCATACATGTCTTTAACTGCAGGGAGAGGAGGGGGGGGGGGGGGGCAAAGACAAAATATAATGAAAAACAATCCAGTTGCATTTGGATACAGCGGTTAGAGCCCACTGAACTGCTGACCTCAATTAACAAGAAGTCTTTGAAATACTCAGCAAACCTCATCCGTCAAGGAAGATTGTCTAATGCCATGAAACTGGACTGGACATTACATGTTACTATATTAAGAGGTGCACGGTACCATGGAGAATAGTTTTCTCTTCTGCAGGAGCTTCTTCCTCGTTCTTTCCCTTCTTCTGCCGCTTGGCTGTGATCTCATCCAGCTCTTTCTGCTCTTCCTGTAAAACACATTTAAGCATACAATTACCAAAAACATGAATGCAGACTGAGCAAACTGAAGTCCGGATATGGGCCACTCTTTACTTTTCCCTGAGATCAGAGGTTTGAGTGAGTTGGTGGGGAACACTGTTCATGCATGAGGCAAATTACAAAGAGGCTTTCCATATGAACCATAAATCAACCATATTAGTAAGAGCAAGTCCACCCGTCTTACTGCCCAACACTAATCCTTACAGCCTGAACCTGGACAATGCCCTACCTTCTTCTTTGCCACTCTATGGAGTAGTGAATCGGGTTAATAATGGAGCAGTGACCTTTTCAAATACAGCCAGAATATTTGAAACCATATATTGAACACAGTTTTACCTCTGACGGTTTGGCACTATCTTTTTCATCTATGTATTTTGCCCATGGTCCAAGGAATGTATCAATCTCTCCTGCCTCGCCACCCTTGATCTTTTTTCTTTTCTCAGACCTCTTGTCCTTCTGTCCGGTCTCAAACACAGTCAGCCCTAAACAAAGAGACAGCAGACATATTTCTTACTTCATGCAGTTGAGACATACTATAAATAGAGCCGGTTCCATGTAGTCAGATGCAGACAAACGCATTGAAACATGGTTTGAAGGATCACCTTTGTTTTTCTCGGCCTCATCCACTGCGCCAATGTAGCTGATAGCGGTTACCTGGTGTGTGTCAACAGATGGATCTAAAGCATAACCTATAGGCAGAGAGAAGAGAGTTGTAAAAGGATCCCTAAAAGTCAGGATAAAAAGGAGGAATAGGAATACATTGGCTGCATGATTTAAATCCACCACACGGGTCACAGATGAGCTTACCATAGGTGGAGAAGGTTCTTCGTTGCTGTTCGAACATAAAGTCGTTGAGGTGAGCAGGTTCTGCATATCCAGATAACATGTTTCTGGGGGCAGCCATCTGCTGGCTCTTAAATGGGTTGACTGGCCCAAACTGAGAAAAAGAAATCAAACAAGCATTAATAACACAATAACTAAATATTGATTTTGGAAACATTAATTCTGCTTATTTTATTCAATTGTGATTTAATGCATTCATGAGATGCAAGTGGCCGGCTGGTCCCGTTCAGCGCTGACTCAGCATTGTTCGAGGTGTGGCTATGAAAGACTCCCAGATACGTTGGTGCTCTGTAATTATGTAAGGACCAAATAATGCCCCCCAAAAATAAACTATTTATTTTATATTTACATGACTGGGATTGTTTCAATCGCAGATTGCCCGGATCTCGTTAAAGTGAAGAACCCTGTATCCGATCGGCAATTAATGATGAAACGTCACAGCATTTTCTCATAACTAGAGAATGTGAGACAACTTCAGAAGTTGCTGATTTAGCCACGTATCTAGCTTTATTTTCTTCATGCGAATCAGGGAGAGGAAGATGGGATCCGTCAGTTTATCGAATCAGGAGATGACGACTTGTAAAAACAAAAACGATCAACAACAATTGAAATCCGGTCTCATATTAAGACAAAAACTTACCTCTGGTGCAAACATGGTTTCAAACGTCGGGTTGTAGGTGACTTCTTTCAATGACGGGTCCAGATGTGTGCCAGTCTCAACAGCCTCCTAAAGTTAACATGCACAAATCAGCGAACTGATACATAGATGGAAAACACATACAACCTAAGACAACGTCAATGACGTCAGTTCTTCCAAAGTATTCGCGTAATTTTTAAAATAAATTAACGTGTAAGTGTTGGACAATACAACATCCTCCTGACATTCAAGTTTCCCGCTAACCGCTAACGCTAGCAACGTGAGCTTTGATCAATAACATTAATGTTTACACTTGTTAACTACACAATAAGCAATAATTAATTCAAAATGTTACGTTATTTGAATCCACACGTGTACCAATTATGCGTAAGCACGGAGGGATTCCTATCATGGGATTTTACACAATGTAACGTTAAGCTAACGTTGGTTAGCTCGGTTAGCTTACCTTAACGGCGACCTCGGGAGCGGAGTTGAGAACAGCCACAGACATCGTGGGGACAGATTTGAGGGGTTTGAGGTGAGCCGTGGCGTCCGGGTCCGTCGCGTCCACGTTAACGACACCGGTTTTAGAAGTTGACTCATTATCTGAATCCGAGTCGCTACCGTAGGAAACGAGGCAGGCTGTGGCGGCAGACATCTTGGATGTTGTGAATTCGCGTGAAGCTGGAGGGCTGTACTTCCGCTGTGACGAAACACGTCACTCACCCGGGGAGGAGGGGGGGCGGTGATAATGTAAGAAATAAAGTGTTGCAATTTTAGGAATAGCGTTACTTAAAGACTGAATTGAATTTACAACTGGAAACGAATGTTCTATTTGTAAAGCTACTCAAATATATACATGTCACACATCATACTACAGCTGCAACGCCAAGTAGATGTAGTGTGTGTGTGTGTGTGTGTGTGTGTGTGTGTGTGTGTGTGTGTGTGTGTGTGTGTGTGTGTGTGTGTGTGTGTGTGTTTAATAATTAAATTATCCAAGGATCACATTATCTGCTCCTGTGGTGTTCGGTATTGTCCTTGACCTTTGCGGTGCATCTCTAGGATACACATCAATTGTGTCAATAAATGCATTTTATCTACAGCGGATGTTGGAATAATCGAACCAAACGAATCTCTTCAATGAATTAGATGTCACAGAATGACGGTCTGACATAACGAGCCATTACAGCGGGCGTGCGCGGCGTGCGCGAGCCTCCCACGAGCACAGCAGCAGTTGGAACGCTCTCTCGCGCCCCCAACAATAGAGTGGTAAGTACCATCATCGCCCGGTATAACGGGGACATTTTCTTGCGAATAAACGTCGTTTCCATCTTGTTATTTCGAAAATATTATCTTTGTCACAATAGCAAAATTAACGGGTTCTATTTTGTTACGAGACCCTTTTATTGGCTGGGCTGCACTAGTTTTTGAGCCGATTTCACCAACATCTACCGCGAGATTCCCTTTTGTAAAAAAGTGCATGGATTCTTCTCCGCCGCCTCTTCCACCAGGAGTACATTTGATATCAGAGACAGTACAATCATGGATCCGACCCGGGGATTTAAATTCTTGGACACGGCGGCGAGCTCTGCTGCTCACTGAGGATGGGAAGAATATAAACGGATTTTTAAGACAACATACCAGGTAATTATGTGACAAAATGCGTACCGAAGTCGAATTTAACTCGAAAACGTGACTTTAGTAACCTTACTCCAACGTTCTTGCATCTCCGCGCGGCAGCAACGAATTGCCTCTTTTTTTTAATACGGAGTCACCATGTTGTGAGAATACTCTTAAACTAGAGCTGCTTGACTCATAACGGTGTCGGTAACCCAACACTGCCTGGCCATCTCTGACCGCCACTACACCACTGGGGCAGTTTCGACAACGTTAGGACTCCAAAGTGGTCCAACCACCCCCCCCCCCCCCCCCCCTTTAAAGTGAACAGCATGTTGAGCGATGCACACATCTGTAACGGGACCGCTTGTGATCAATTGAGAAAACCTCCACATCTGCAACAGCTCCTGCAGGAGGAGGAGCAGCGGCAGCGTTTTGACATGTTCAGCCTTAGCAAGACCATGTAGGTGAGAAACCGGGGGAGCAAATGATCTACATGCACAATTAAAAAAAAAATCAACATTTCGCGTTTAATGTGTTGAATTCGTCCCTGGGTTGCGGCGTTTCAGGTCGGTACATTGTGAATTCGTTGACTCGGATCCGAGAGAGAGGGGGGAGAAAGAGGGGAGAGGCGTCGGGGTCTGTTCCAGCCAGCTCGGACTCCCAGTCAATGGTGGGGGGAGGGATGGTACAGCCCTCACCACTGGTGAAAAAAGGAGAGAAAAAATCATCATGCTTTGTGAAATTGGAAACCTTCTTTGTACTTCTTCAAGTCCAGCGAGACATGTGGGCACAGTGTCCTCGTCTTTTTTTTCGGGGAATATATTTTGCCCCCCAATCTTCTTTGGGGGGGGGGGGGGGGGGGGGGGCACGTTGGACTGACCAGATGTTTGTTTTATTCCTGCAGCCATGTCCATTTAAAAACCCAACCGAGGTGTTAGGATGCTGCAGAAAACACGTTTCTCTACAGTGAAGCAAGCAGCCAATTTCACCTGCAAGCCCCTCAAAGTACAGAAGTAAAGTTGTGTGGCAGAGAGAGAGAGAGGGATAGAGAGGGAGGGAGCCCTGTTGTGGGAATTTGTCAAGTTTTTCTGTTGCTGGTGATTGAAATGGCAGCTGCAGAGCCCTTGATACTAGTTAACAGTGTCTGTTCCTCCTTGATTTATTTGAATTATGTTCACAACGGGCGTAATGATGAATCAGAAGAGACACAAACGCGGGTCGTGGTGACTGCATGTGATCATCTCTCTCTCTCTCTCTCTCTCTCTCTCTCTCTCTCTCTCATAAGGAATTTCTCTAAGTCTGGGCAGAAAGCGCTGACTCTACATATTAAAATTGGCCCCGCCGCTCCGTACACCTACACTGTCTGAACCGTGACACAATGGAACGTATCGAGAATGTATATTCATCCATAACGTTACAAAAAGATTATCCGGGCAGAAAAACGTACAGGTTCCCGTGTGGCGAAGAAGCAGCTTCGAATCTGTAGACAAAACAGTCCCAGAGCAGCACAGCTGTTGGATTTATCAACCTGCAACAGTGGCATCCAAGCTGTCACATGACCGGAGCCGTGTGACGTGCGTCGGCAGCCGCTCGGAGGAAGCGTACGGGTGCTCGAAACATTAGCAATATTGGATAAATTGAAAGTTGCCTTCGAAACCCTCAGAGTGGATGTGTGCTCACGGGTTCCTGCCGTGGCCTCAACCCCCCCACCCCCTCCTCCCCCGTTCTCTGTTTTGTGTCCCAAGGGGGGGTTATCTCCTGTGGTTCTTTTACTTCTGTTTTATGTGAGGTATTTTAAAGCCTGCAGGGGAAAACGTTAAACTCCGGTGAACAGCATCAGAGCTGAGGGGTTCACCCACACAGCCGTCTTTCTGCTGCACAAATCCTTACAGGTGTGTTCCCAAAATAGAGGCGAGCACATTGCCACGTTTTTTTACCTGATCCCGTACGTAAACTCTTTGCTCCGAGGGATGACATTCCTGCACAGTTTGCCCTTCTCTTGTTTTTTCTGGAAGGCTCTCGTAACAGAAGAGCTTTGGCAGGCCTCTCGCGGAGGCTTTTTGACCTCTTATTTGTTGACATTGCTCTGATCCCGTGCCAGTCTTTGGCGTTCTCGCGCCAGCATGGAGAATTTTCTCTTCTTTCTTTTTTTTCCCCGCGGCTCACTTTTTGTCTTTCGGGAGGACGCAAAGACCAAGACGGGGCATTACCAAAGAGAGAGAGAGAGAGAGAGATTTTTTTTTGATTTTTTAGAAAAACAATTTATTTTACATATTTCAACAACTTTGTCAATGTGTTAAAAAAAGGTCACAGATTTCCTTCCTTTGTTAAAAAAAACAAGACAAAGCAACAACAAAACAAAACAAACAAAAGCAAAATTATATTTCATGCCATAAAAACGGGAGCAAACACCAATTCATTATTTTCCACTGAGCACACAACATTTTTAAAACACCAGCGTTGTTTAAAAGTGTCTACGTCCCCAATGTGTTTATAAAAGCGGAACTCTAGCCAGAGCCTGGCCCTGATGTTCACCAGCCACACTGCTCTGGCCTCCTGCCCCTCTCCGTCCTTCACTCTGGCCTTCCTGCTTAGATAAATGGCCATTTTGGCTTCCCCTGAAAGATAGTTGAGGAGCTGCCATTTTTCTTTTTCTGCTTTTTTGTAGGCAGCTCCCATGATAAAAATCTTTTCAGTAAAAACCACATTAAAAAGACTAAAAACCGATGTTAAAAGAGAGAAGAAACTCGTAAGTCTCTTGCACTCTGTAAAAACATGATAAATAGTCTCTCGGAGGTCACAGAAGGGGCATTTGCTCAGAACAGTGGGGTTAATAACAGAAATAAAAGCGTTGGAGGCGACAGCACCGTGTAAAATTCTCCACTGGAGGTCGGCAGTCCGTTTCTTGAGGGGAGGTTTGTATAAAATCCTCCACTGTGGGCCCGGTCCATTTTGTCCCAGTCTGTTGGACCACACAGTGGGGAGCCTGTCGCACAGTCCGGACCGGTTTATGCTCTTCACGCAGTTAAAATACAGAGTCTTCTTGTCTGCTTCGTGCAATGTCAGCGCTTCGGGGCGTGTTGTGGCGAGCAGGGGGCCGGTGAGTTCCCCTAGTCCTGGGCTCAGGTAGATCTCGGGGAAGGGGTCTGCAGGGTCCGGCTCCACATCTTTCTGGCTGTAGTCTGTGAGGTGGCTCCTTTCCTCCTCAGTCAGCCTCTGGTTCCACAGCTCCAGGAGCCTCCTCGCCATCCGGACGGAGTGCAGCCCCAGCAGAGAGCCCAGGGCCGGGGCGTCGCTCAGCGTCGGCCCCACTGCGTCCACCAGCTGCTGCAGGCACAGGACTCGTGCTTTCAGCAGCGCCCCCATCAGGCCTGGGGTACCACTGCTGCTGATGTCCAGCCTTGCTCTGTAGATCAAAGGTTCTCTCAACAACCAGTACAGAGAGAAAGACTGTGGGCACCTTTTATGATTAAAAAGGGCCCAAGACTTAAAAACACCCTGATAAAACGGAGGTAGCCCATTTAACTTTAAAAATTTAGAATCAATTAAAAACAGAGCAGTATCCAGCCCCAGGTTGTTTGCACGTCTAAAAATGCAGCTGGCCACGTCCCTCCATACTAAAAACTCCGGACCTGTGAGATATTTCTGTAAAAACTGGAGTCTAAAAGTGGTCGTCCGGCTGGCCAGGTGGACGAGGCCCTGTCCCCCCTCCTCTCTGGGTAAAAACAGCACCCCTTGTGGCACCCAGTGTAGACCCCCCCAAAAGAAATCCACCATTTTCTTCTGTAAGTTGGCAAGGAAGCCTGAGGGAGGGTCTAGGCAGGTAAGACGGTGCCACAGCTGGGATGCAATCAGGTTGTTTAAAACCAAAACTCTACCTTTAAAAGACATTTGAGGGAGCAGCCATTTCCATTTGGAAAGTTTCCCCTCTATCTTCTCTGTGACGCCCTCCCAGTTCTTCTGGACGATGCTCTCTTGTCCTAGATAAATCCCCAGATATTAAAACCATCTTTCCTCCACACTAGGCTTTGGGGAAGAACCGGGAGGCCGCCACGCCATTCACCGACAGCGAGGGCTTCACTTTTTTTCCAGTTCACCCTCGCTGCCGATGCCTTACTAAAACTTTCCACGATGTTATTTAAAAGGTCTGCATCCCTCTGGTCTTTAATAAAAACAACAACATCGTCGGCATACGCCGATAAAATCATTCTTCTACTAAAACCAGGTAAAACCAGGCCCTCCAGGCTAGAGCGTATTTTGCCGAGAAGGGGTTCCAGGGAGAGTGCATAGAGCATCCCGGACAGAGCACAACCCTGCCGGACCCCTCTATACACTCTAAAAGGAGCACACAGACTGCCGTTTATCTTCAGCACACTCTCAACCTCGCTGTACAACACTTTGATCTTAGCTATGAAACCAGCGCTGAACCCAAACCTCCCCATGACCTTCCAGAGGAAGCTGTGCTCAACGCGGTCAAAAGCCTTTTCCTGGTCTAGGGAAATCAGACCAGTATTAATGCCTAACGAGCTGGCGACCTCCAAAACATCACGAATGAGGTAGACATTGTCTACCATGGACCTGCCGGGCACACAGTAGGTCTGGTCCCGATGGATGACCTGCTCCATAGCTTCCCTCAGCCTGGAGGCAAAGACCCTGGACAGAAGCTTGTAATCCACGCACAGTAGAGACACAGGGCGCCAGTTGCCGATGTCCTGCAGGTTCCCCTTCTTCGGCAGTAGCGTTATGACCGCTCTGCGGCAGGACATCGGCATGGAACCAGAGGCCAGACTCTCGTTAAAAACCTCCAGGACATCAGGTGCAAATATGTCCCAGAATGCCTTAAAAAATTCTGCGGGGAGGCCGTCGATGCCAGGAGCACGCCGTCCCTGCATGCCCTGCAAGGCGGCCTTCAGCTCCTGCACCGTTATGGGCCTGTTGAGCGCTTTGTTGGTCTCCTCAGAGACTTGAGGTAGCCCGCTCACGAACTCCTCCGTCAGTGCTTCCTCCTCCCTGTACTCACTGGT